TTTTAGTTTGTATTAAAAAAAATGTTCCTAATAAGAAAAATATATTTGTGTTAAAAAATATATATTTGTGTGTGTGTGTGAATAAAAAAATAAAAATAAAAATATTATTTTGGCGCATCAGGGTTGTTGCGGCCTCTCGCATAGTTTTCCAATGCCAAGCAACTCGGTAGTATTTCTGTAGCAAGCAGTAGGGGTTGAGTACTGTTAAGGAGTTTTTGCTTAGACTTGTGAAGGGAGTAAACGCATCTGTTCTTTAAACTAAAACAGATTTGTGAATCTGCCACTAGGGATGAAGAAATGCTAGCATTGCCTGTACAATTCATTATCTACATAGAGGAGTGTCACTGCTGGACTTTGAGTGATAGTTGTACTAGCATATAAAAGACATGAGAACCTTCCCTTTCCCTTCCAATCATTTATGTTGTCGTTTTTTCTTGGAATTGTGTGTGTTTTCCATAGGATTTTTGCCCTATGAACATTGTATCCTTTGTAAGCCTGCTTATTTAAGAGGCCCTTTAGACAGAATGAAGCAGTTAATGTTACTAGTATTGTTGTTCTCTCTTTCTCTGTTTTTTATTTTTTATTTTATTTGACAGTAGGGACCAGTTGAAGTTCATTATTCTTGAATTTGTTATATGATTTGTTTTTTCTCAGTGCATTAGGTTTTAGTAATTGCCATTGAATTCCTGCAGCTGTATAGGATTCCTCCTGTATATAAAAATCCTGTTTGAATTGTTACTGTCAGCAATTTCAGATCATCGAGTTTATTATCACCAATTTTTCTCATTTTTCTAGATTTGATTATTTGTTCATAGATTACCTTCCCCGACTCCGCTTTTCTCTCTTCTCTTATCTCCTTTAGATCAAATGTTTCTCAGTATTGCATGGCATTTTCTTTTGGGACTTTCAGCAGTCGTTCATTTTTTGAAAAATGTTTTGTTTATTTTTTTACAGTTCTCGATTCTTCATGGTAAAAATCATAGACACCTTACCTATTGAAACTCTGCAACTTATTCAAAATTGAAAAACTAGATAAACTGTTTACAGAGTTTGTTTTCTAAATTTGAGACAGCTTGTTTTACATGCCTGTTATCATTTAAATGTAGTCACTTTTGATTTCTGAAGCTTAATCATTATAATTCAACCCTATTTTCTCTTCATTTTAGGAGTTGCTTGAGGGATTCAGTTTTTATAGTTAATCACTCGGCAGAATGAACGCATTAGTAAGCTTCGGTCCCCTTGATTTGGCTGGCAATTCGTTATCAAATAGATAGTCTGATATCATACTGATTGTGATTATTTCTTTGATGAGTAATTTTGACTTTTGTTTACCCGTCTTAGTAATGAACAACTTTGCTGAAGAACATCAACCGAATATTATAAATGTCATGTACTCATTTCTTCAACCATATTTTCAAGCATTCTGGTTTTAAGGGTTTGAGCTTTCTGGTATAGCAGGTATAGAACCATTTCGAAGTTCGATCTTTATCAGTTAATCGGAGTTTTGAAGGCAAAGCTTAGTATGATGCCTGCTTTGATGACATGTAGAAACTGATGTATATTTGCACCCATACTTGTACATATGTGATTTCTCTGATAATTGTGGATGACTTCTATGCAGGTTGGTTCTTCCCCTCGTCAGAATCCAGAACTTTAATCATCTTCTGCTGTAAGGGGCTATGGGACATAAACAAATGTTCAACACATCTCAATACTTTGAGATAGAGCAGGACTGGAGCCATGGCCACCCAGCTTCTGGACAATCCTATGTCCATATGGGTACGTTCCTTTATTATGTGTTACTCAGTAAAAATGCCTTTCTGCTAGTCTTCCTTCAAAATCTTGCACAAATGCAAAATCTTGCACAAATGATGTCCAACTTCAGTTTCGAATGCTACTGGAGTGGGATACTGATGAGGGGTTGGAATTTATCAATGATTATGATGAAGGGAAAATATTTCATTAATACATTGCTTTGGTGATCATTAACTGGGATGATAGCTACAATTTAGCGACATGCTATGCTTGCAAGTGAAAGTATGAAGATTATAGGATTGTTTTGATTTATAGCCCAATTGAAACAACACTTTTCATATTTTTTTTCCATAGAAGATATTGGTGGAATTTGAATAATTTCGTTGACATCAGGTGTGAAATTTGCTGTACCCATCCATTGTGTTCCACCTTGGAGATTTGACCTCCTGCATGCCTGGAACAGCTATTGCTCTTTCATCCGCCAACTGCTTATGTCGTGACTTAGCCTTGTCTTGAATGCTATTATGTTCTTAAAACAATTGTTGCAGGAAGGGCAGTCTCTCAGGAAAATGGTTCCCTTTTCTCATCCGATCAATCCTATTTCAACAAGTGGATTCAACTGTGCATCTCGACAGACCCTGGAAACCGGATCACATGATGTGTTCCCTCACTGTTCAGCTGGTGGAAACTTTTATCCTCCTCCAGAGCTCAATGCTGCCCAGGTTCATTCTAATCCATGAAGTTGAGGGTGGTTTACTTGATCAAACAATGAGCACGGGAAGAGGGCCATTCAAAAGAAAAGGCCCTGGTGTTTCTACATCGCGGGAAAGAGGCGGCACCAGCATTATCTACAGTGCAGGAAGTACCTCCAATTCATTTGAACGTCACCATGAGAAACCAACTTCAGATTATAGAAAAAACTTTGACTCCTCTGGTTTACCTCCCTACATGAGTAGCAGCCTGTCAATTGGGGGTGAAGATTCTCCAAGGAATGTGAGAAGCAGGACTCGACTTGATTTGGAGCCCAACCCAAGGAGAACTCATTTATTTATAAGTGACGCGCCCCATCCTTTTTCTTCAACGTCTCATCTGCGAAACCATCCTGGGCCGGTGGATGCTTCAAACTTGAGGTTTCATACTTAAGGCTAGTTTAAGATATATTGCTTTCTATATTCTACTCTTAGTTTTCCCCGCAATTCTAATATAAATATAATTTACAATTGCTGCAAATAATTCCTTGAGCCATGAGATGATTCATTATTAATCCTACTGATATTCACTGGTACAACCATGAATCCATCATAAGCAGAAATCCTGCTGCACCACCACGATATCTTCACGGCTTTCATGCCCAGGCTTCTAGGGAGGGGCAGAATAGTTATCCTCGACCAGCTATACCTACACGTCGGACTGATATAAGCTCTTCTCATTTCGGACAAGAAGCAACTGCTATTGAAAATGGTCAGCATTTTCTTTCAGAAACCAATAATTCCAGATATCCTTGGCCACTTTCTTCCGGAGGTTGGCACAGCAATCATAGAGAAGGAAGGACAAGGATATCTATTGAGAGATTCCAATCACTTTCTAATGTGGTGGATGCACATGACAGAATGGGATCTGAGGTGCGTGGTAATCGATTGTGACTTGTGCTGTGGACGAGGCTAGAATTTCTTCCAGTTTTCTTTCCCTTCCTCTGGCTTTATTATTATTATTATTATTATTATTATTTTGTGTGTGTTTGTGTTTTGTGTTGGGGAAGTCTTGCAATTTTACGTGTTTTAACCACGAGAGTGCAAGTTCAAGTCTTAGAGGTAGCCACTTAATAGTTAAATGGCTCCATAAATTTATTTGATCAATACAGGGACATGAGACTGGATGTTGACAGCATGAGTTATGAGGTTAGTATTTTCAAGAAATGACTTTTTTTGACTGGCAGCTTCTCTTGTTTTTCCTTTACTTAAAATCATCTGCTGTCACCCTGGCAGGAACTACTTGCTCTGAGAAAGGATAGGGAATGTCAACACAGGATTGCCAAAAGATGTGTTTTCAAAGTGCTTGATGGAGACAATAAGACTTTCTTCCGAAAAAGGCCAGGAGGAAACATCCTGTGCTATCTGCCTTGTAAGTTATAGTTGTGTTAACGGTGATTAATTATATTTTTAGCAAACCTCAAGATATAGGTGAAGGCATCGTCAAGATTAAGCTTCACAATAACAATATCATGATTCATGGTCTTGAACCGTGTACAGGCATACATCTGGAAACATAAATCAGAGGGCAGGATTCTGGGTGAATTAACAGGATGCCCGTGTGAGTTAATCTGTTTCTGCAGCTTAGCATTGCAATTATTGTTTTCAAAATTTCAGACTGAAAGTCGGGTTTAGTACTGATTTGGTCCAGAATGACATCAAAATTGAAACACATTTTTTGATACTCAATGTGACATTTTAGCGTGCCTAACATTTCCGTACCTTGATGGTGATCAGAATTGACAGGAAGAATACAGGAGCGTGGAAAAAGTGGGCACAATAAAGAACTGTGGGCATGTTGACAGCATCAAGAAGTGGTTGTCAATGAAGAATATGTGCCCCATCTGCAAAGCACCTGCTGTTGCTGATAGTGCGAATGAGAATTGATTCGCTTGATATTCCGAATGAGGATTGATTCGCTTTTACATCTTATTTCTATCTTGTAAATAATTCGGAGATGGAAATCAATGACCATTTATAAAATTTAATTTAAACGCCCATTTTCTTGCCTTGTATATTTATCTTAATCTCGCTTTAAGCACATCTTACGTCCTTTCTGATGGTCATAGCTGCTGTGCCTGATTTCTCCATGGTGCTTGTGCAGGCAAAAGCAGAACTAGGCTCCCTTGTGAGCATGGTTTTATATCGCGGTCATGGTCATGCATTGCACGCGCTGTCTTTGCAGGTGTCGAATATCAGTCGTCGTTGTTACCATGAATGACCATTAAGTGTGCTTTTTAACAATCTCATTAGATACAGTAATAACACTGAAAAGTAAATACCATAGAAAAAATGCACTGTAACTATATGTATATAAAAAAACATGTTGACCAATGTGAGATCAGGAACTTGAAATAGAGGTAACAGGATCCTCATGGAATGTCAAACGAGAAAAAAAATTGGCGCACGATCAAAACAATCCTTGTGATGTTTGACGATTTGAGCCCCAGAGGACAAAGCATGATAAAATGCCAAAACAAGAATAAGTCTCTCCGGTTATAGAAGAACCCGAAATGGCTTTTCATTGAATTTGATATTTTGCTTTACAACTTGTAGATGTCCAATGACAAGAAGAAATATCACCTGCTTAATCAGAGTAGGAAAAGGACTGAAATTTCCTGAAAAATGATACGAGTTGAAGTTTTTTACACGAGAATGTTCATTAAGAGGGTGGTAATACAAATATCGAAACTGACTACAGACTCTTCCCCAAACCTTCAAAGAGCAAAGGTGTGGAAGTGTTGACATTTCGGATTTTATCAGGGATGGGAACTGTAGCTCAACTCTCAAATGCTTCTCCAGCATAATACTGTCTGTGGACCATGCTTTTGTAACCTGTGACAAATCCGCATAAACAATTCTCTTCAGTTTATAGCGATGTGGCTAAGCATAATGGTTTCATATCACCAAATTCTTCCGAACAAAAAACAGAGTAAATGTGTCCATTCAGACCAGATAGTGAAGATATGTACGTTTTGTTATCCTAGAGCATGTTTCCTGATATTACATGGATAATAAACACCAGTAAAGCTAGGTCTGGTGGTCCAAGAAGAATGAGCATGGTTTTATTTTTAATATGGTAGGTGTCCCTATAAAGAAGAATTATGACCAGCAAGAACATGTAAACAGAAGCTCAAGCTTTATACATTCATGGCAGTTCATCTTGATGTTCAAACAAAAGAAAATGATCTTAGATATGAAGATAGGATATCCATCTAACCTTCTTCGTTATTCCAGAGTTTGGCAGCGTAGTTGTTCAGAGGACTGTCTGGGTTCGGTTCTGCACGAAAGAACTACATAGTTAGGCAAAAACAGAAACACAGACAAAGTTCAAGCACATACACAATTGTGAGCAGACCTCCCAATAGACTTTGAATGGATAAGAGAATGGTTCTGCAATCATACGCTGAAGACCATTTATCCTATGGAGACAAATACAGAGGACCCCGTTAGTCTCACGAGAGAAATAACAACTTTCAATGCAAGGCACGTAAGAAAACTCTCTTCAACTGGAAGGGCTAGACTTTGGCAATATCAGCTGGGTTTGAACTCCAAATAAATTATTATCACCTATTATCATTTTAACATCTGCCGTCTCCTGCATCCTTTTAACTACATGCACAAAGTTTAAAAAAGTATTGTCACAGCAAGTTGATTAAAACCTGAAGAATATCAAGGCATATGTTCCCAAATTGATCAACATTTGGATGGAAGCACATCGTCTCAAATTTGACTTGAGGTGGTTTGAAAGGGTAGTCTAGAGGAAAACGCAGAGAAAGCTTGTATGATAATCCCTCGTAGGCAGTTCCCTTGCCACCCATAATCGTTCCAATCCATGCAAAAATGCTCTCGCCTTCAGGAAAAGCTGACACTCCAAGATCTCCTCCAATCATCTGCAGAAGAACAGGCCATCATCACTTGCCACAGTAAAAACCAAGGCTTAATAGTAATTTCCGCTGTTGTGTGTATACTATAAACCTTTGAATCCTTCAGAGGATTTCTTTTCAATAAAGCCATTTCCATTACCAAAAACACAGTGCAGCAGCCCACCATAAAGGGCAACAGTTCTAGTTCAATACACAAGACCAAGACTGGCGACCCAATAAAAGATTAAAATCAAAGTTGATAATTTTTTACAGTAAAGAAACAGAAAAGAAAGGATATTTGCATACCATAAGAGACATTAATTCCTTCTGTAACCTACAAAAAAAAAAAAAAAAGAACCCACCAAGATCATTTCACTTCCTAAAAAACAAAAACCAAAGAAACAGCATGTAGGATACTAACAGATACAAGGTTTCTGTCCTTCGATTAATTCAAAAAGAACCAGCAGAAGAAAATCAAGGTTATAAAATGGGTTTTTCTGTTTCTTTCTTGAAAAGAAACTTTCCTGGGAATCAAACAGGAAATTCATGAAAGAGACCTTTGAGAAACTGAGGCGGTGTCAACTGTGTTAGAAGGAGCAACAGGTTGCTTTGATGGGGTCGCTGGCACATGACGCCGATGCTGCGGAGAGTTATCAGCCGTCTGATTTGGCCTAACCTCCATGACAATTCTCTTACAATCAAAAGATCAACGAAGTGGATTCTTGCAGTGATCAAAATCAGGGGCAGATATGCAATCAACAAATGAATCAAATGCTTGAATTTATTTTTTTGATGTTCTTACAATATTGTTGTTGGAGGTCAAAGTGTTTGATTGCTTTTCTAAAACGAGAGTGAGACTGCATATAGAGCACACAACCTGCCACGACGTGCCCTCTTGAAACTTGAAAGAGATGGCGATCACAAATGTAATCGCATCTTGTTAACTCCTAATCACTCCCATTAGTTATTTTTTTATTATTTATATGGATGTTTGGGCAGTTAATACATACCTAACTAATTTCACAAACCCTAAAATTAGAAACCATAAACATCTCCATGGCGGACTCCCATTAGTTTTTCCAGTATCAATAAGGCAGGCTTGCTTCGGATGTTAAAAGGGTTTAGGCGAGAAATCTTATCGTAAATATTAATGATTACTCTTAAAGCACTAAGATTTTTCAGGATTGATTTCTCCTGTTATTATAATTATATAATGAATTTGAATATAATCGAAAAGGGTAGAAAAATGATTAAAAAAATAATTATAAATGCATCATACGAATAGAGATAGCATTTGAAGCTTAATAGGAACGAGACTTTCATCCTAACAATCTTATAGACAATTTTTTTATATATATTCTATTTATTTGTCTAGAAATTGGTATAAATTATTTTATACTCCATTGTTTTTAATAACTCGCTGACAACCTGTGATGCTTGATGTTGGACCTCCAGCTTATAATTATAGATTCTTGGTAAGCTAAGTTTACATGGACCCAAAAAAACCTCCATGAAACTCTCATCTCTACTTTTGATTTGTCCCCCCTTTTTTCTATTTTTAATGCATTATTTCACTTGCAAAATCTCCACATTAAGCAAACTATCTGAAGAAAAGAAATCCCTGGAAGTTGAGTCATTTTTACAACACTAGTTTGATAGTTATTTTTTAAAATATTTTTTACTTAAAAATAAATTTTAAAAAATATTTTTATCATGGATATATTAAATCAATTTAAATATATTTAAAAAAATTCAATTTTTTATAACCGCAAAAAAAAACTTATCGCAAGCCGGGTGGCTACTTCCCTCGTTTACCATGCTGGTAAATAGATAAAGAAATCTTCAAGGAAAACCACATGTAAGTGGATAGAGTCAAAGCAATATTTGATGACGAGGATCTCCAATAATACGAACAAACAAAGTTCAAATTAAGCTTCATTATGATTGAAAGCGAACCATCAACTTCCAATGCTAACAGGCAGTAAGGATTTGATTGAACAAATATCTGGCGGTGGCGGTTTTGCCACACCACTCATTTATAACGGGACACCTCAACAGTGTGAAAAGTGTGGCAAAATCACCACCCATATGAGGTGCTAACTGGGTTTTTTAAGCTTTAACTTGTGCAAATCGTGTAAGCAGCAGCATTCAACAGGACAAAAACTTGTGCATGGGAGACCAATTCTGCTGATCCGCTTGTCAAGGAAATGATTCTTGCTTGCACATCTTAAAGCATAACATACAATAACACCAATGAGTTGTCTGCTTTTTGAAATGGCTGTGTATGTATAATAAATAGGGGTAAAAAAAATTCTCTAATAAAAGAACAAGGAAGCAAAACTCATGCATGGAACGATCACTGCCCGTGTTGCTTTCAGGTTCCAAAAGTCTTTCTTTCGGCCCTAGTAGGTTTCTATTTTTCTCATGTACAAAAAATGAACACATGACAAGTAAATAACGTTTGCTGAATAAATCCTGTATGCTTCTGCTATCATTTCCTAAATGCGAAATCACGAGCACTGCCAATGTTAATTTCGTGTTGGGTACGGATGGAGCCAGGCCCTGGAGGCAATTGGATCGAGTTTGGATCTTGCATATGTGTGACTTGGTCCCTAACATCAAGACTTCCATGGTGTACAGACTCACTGAGTTCATAATCATGTACAGAATTTGCTTCAGTATCCCATTGATCATTGTTGTTGTGATTTGAAAACCTTGGAGAATTCGGGAAGCTATTAGGAGCAGTGCTGCTGCGGTGGTTACTCAAGAGATGAACTGGCGACATACCATGAGAGCGAGTTTGTGGTCTGCTTAACATCGGTGTGTGAGACTCAGAATTCTTGCCATGTTTACTTTGCTTTTTGGCTGTATGGTGCCAGTTTTTGAGGGCTGCTGCCACACGATCATTAAACACTGTTGGTCTCATGCTAGAACCCATCTGAGAGATCACCGGAAACAATGTCATTCACAAGATAACAAAATGTCTTACTGCTATAAGCTAGCCATTTTAATGACAATACTAACCTGGGTCACTAGAGCATAGAGAGGCAGAGTCACGTAACTGCAGACGATCTGTATGATGACCCTGAACATTCCCAGTTTACATCTTGTCAGCTATGCTTGAACCTTGTGAAATCAGTAAAAATTGATAAAAAAAAGTCCTAACTATACAGAAGGTTTTAACTAGGGGGTAATTTTTTCATGCCTTTCAATATGCTAACGAAACTCACCCCAATGTGATTCTGATGACAATAGCCTCAGTGTGAGCATGGTAGCAGGATTTTATTGAAAATTCATACTGAAAGAGAAGGAGCAATTAGTCAGGCAGAATGCAAGTGAAAAGTCCACACTTCTTAGGTTCTTAGTAAACTTTAGACAATGAATGCAATGTACTTAGCATTGGTTTGAATTGTCCACAAAGCTTCTTTTTTTCTTCTTTCAGGAAAAAAGGTGTTATAGGATACTTTGAAGTAAAACGTTTCCTAAATCATGCCGTAAATGTTAAAAAGAAAACGGTAGAATTGCTTACCACACTCCATATGAAGAAAGCAATCTGAAATGCGTTCTGCAATGAAGAAGGTTAAGACAACAAATAAGCATAAGCATAAACATAATCAGGAAGCATTAAGAATTAGATACCTAGATGTGTTTGAATACCTGAAAAAGAACTAGGTGAATGAGAAAGAGAACGAATCGTGGGCGTCCAAACCAGAATAGGTCATCGCCTGGCTGAACAACGGGAGCACCCCTGACCACTTCTCCTCTCTCTTGAATCCTTAGTCCCATTTGAGTTATGATCACTTGTAGCTTAGTTCCTATCGATAAAATTACCTGCAAAATTGCCAGTTAAATGTTATGACTTCCTGATGATCACAGAACTCGCAAGAGTAGGAAATTTATCGATCGATTATGATGTTAAAAGCAAAGGTTTTGGATGATATTTGTACTCACAACTAAAGGAATGAATGGTAACCAAAGATGAGAGTTCCATCCTGTCATGAGTAACGAAAAAATTCTTAGCCCTTCAACAAAATAACTTTTGGTACCTTATACCATCTGGGAACCAGTGCCAGAATAGTGTGCTTACCATGTGTATCGGTCAGCAGGAGCAACACTGCAATGAACCATATAATTGGACTGCATACACAAAGTAAGGTTAGGATTCTAAAATAAACCATCAACCCGGGTAATTTACTGCTTCAAATGCTTGTAAGAACAGACCTGATCCCCACCACAACTTTAAAATCCTCATCAAGTGATCTGCTGATGTACTTTTGGAAGTCAAATCTTGCTTCGCTTCCAGGGGCCAAATGTGCCTGAAAGAAAATACCATAACATTGTAACTCCGATAACGAGAATACCTTGTCAGAGTAAAGATTGCGTAGTTTAAGACTTCAAGTATATATGCTTGGCAACTCACCGTGATAAATCCGTGTCTCAATGTCATGTAATCAACCTTAGTTACTGATCCAAGAAACTGTCTGAAGAAACACACCTGGTATAGGGGCAACAAAAAAAAAAAAAAGAGTTTCATATAAAAAATGAACTCCGGTGTCCTGAAAAGTATAGGATACAATGAATTAAAATACTAATCATATCTCATTCCTGTAGTGAAACCCTGATCTACCGTATCTTGAGTTCAATACAGAATATGCAGTGTTTCGGTGATGTTATCTTCATAGCCCACTTTGTTATTTCATAAAGGCAAATTCTTTAAGAATAATCCACATTCAGTACTTACAATCCAAAGGAGAACTGGTGACTTGCTCCATAGTTGCATATGCCTCCTTCCAAATGACGTGTCTCTTGCAAACCTAAACCTCTCCGGATCTGCATTCCATAAAGTGATTTAAGTATGGATGCCTAAAATAGAAATGGTTGCCACTGACTGCTAGTTCATTGAAAGTAGCTTCCATCCTTGTAAGTGTCATTTTGCATCTTTAATGAAATTGTAGGCAACAAATTATGATTTGATAATTGATCATTAAGCCAAGCTTTGACGAAAAACTTACCATTATGGTATTGGTACTCAAGTGTCTTTGTTTCATCCTCCCATGTCTTCCACTTCCTCATCTGCATTCCAAGAAGCATTGAAGAGATCGATCCGTCAGAAAAGGGAAAGCAATTGAGCATATGAGAAGGAAGTGAATAAATGTTAGTATTACAGTACCTTGGTTCTGCCTAGGAAATAGGTAATTATGCAGTAGAGCACATGTACAATTGCTAATATAAAGATGAAAATATGGAGCTGGTGGATTCCATATGATGATACGAGGGCCACTTTACCCTGAAACATATGCAAGAATCAATGTTAAAAACCAGCTGCTCAAAAAATAGAGCTCGAGAGAACATTTTCTGGACTTACTTTCACCAATCCTAGCAAATTTATGCAATTAAGAATTGGTAGTCAAAGAATATGCTGATCTTATGATTACCTCGCCACATGTGTCATATTTTGAAGCTAAAAAACGTCTATGACTTTCTCCAGAATCCAAGAACTGAAGGAGCCTTCGACGATTGTCTTTAGAATCTGATGACTTTTCCGCTTTTGCTTTCTCCTGGTTACCATCGCAAGGATGCCAAGTGGCAGCAACACTTTTTGGAATGCAGATATCAGAGATTGGTCCTTGTAATATTGTTAGGAACAAAGATATGAATCCCATAAGCATGAGCTCTACAAAAAAGCATGTCAGAACAGAAAGGGTCAGTTACCTTGTTTTCTGATTAAAAAATAAACAATCGACTTTAAAAACTGGCAAGAGCTTCTCAGACTAAAAATGGGTTACCTGCTTTAACTTTTTCAAGAGCTTCAACTAAAGCTATCTTGTGTTTTTTCTTCAACCACTGTAAAAGAAGTACAAAAAACCATCAGGCTAAGCAACATAAATAGCCATTAAAAATTATACTCGTTCAATTATATATGGGGACCGGCGGAACTTTAGTTCAATCTTCGGAACTGCT